TTATATTGTGTTGCACTCAGTATACTTACCATCTGCATGTTGAATTAAGTGTAAAATAGATACCATCCCTGCTCTTTGGCTTCGTAATCTCATTAGGTTAGATTAGAATTGGCCCTTTTGATGGGGCTCCTGGCTGGTTCAGTCAGTCAGTAGAGCATTGGACTCTTGATCTTAGGGTTGAGTTTGAGCCCCACATAGGGCATAGAGATTACTTGATACATAAATAAAGAATAGAATTGGTCCTTTTGTATCTTTGATACACAGCGTTGACCCCACTCTTTCCTTGTGTTAACACTAAGGTTGCATTCCCCATCCTTTAATTTGATCATTAGATCTTATATGAAGTGTGCAGCTTTAAAGTGTGGAAAAAAAAACCCCAGGAAATTAATCAGATATTTAGAATTAATTGTTGCATTTTTTTTAAATTCACTTTTTGTTGTCTATATATGATATTTTGCCCATATAATTAGTTACTTCTCTTACGGTTTTTGCTGACTTAACTATTAACTTTAATCTTTTTAACTTTGGGAGATCGGATTAAGTTGGACAGAACAGTAAAAATTTGTGGCTATTTGGCTGACAGCAGCCAAAGAAATAATGTTAATGAAAGTGCCTTATAAAACATGAAATGCTATATAAACAGCAACTTTTTAAAAGAAATAACTTGTTAAAAAAGTTTGATCACATTTATTGAGTACTTACTAAGTGACGGGGATTATTCTAGATGCTGAGGTTACAAAGATGTATAAAGACAGGAAAATTCCTAACCCAGTCTGTTTTCATTTTTATTTTTATTATTTTTTAAAGATTTTATTTATTTGAGACAGAGCATGAGCAGGGGAAGAGGCAGAGGGAGAGGGAAAAGCAGGCCCCCCGCTGAGCCAGGAGCCCAATGCGGGGCTCAATCCCGGGACCCGGGGATCATGACCTGAGCCAAAGGCAGATGCTTAACCATCTGAGCCACCCAGGTGCTCCTGTTTTCATTTTTAAAAACAAGCTTTTGAGATATAATTCACACACCATAAAATTCACTCTTTTAAAGGGTACAATTCATTGGTTTTTAGTATATTTACAGAGTTTTGCAACCATCACCACTTTTCTAATTTTAGAAGATAAATGGCAGTTTTTAATAAGCATTTTAAGTCTTTCCTGATTTTTGGCTTTATCTCAAAGCTTAATTTTCTTCTTTCCCCACACACTTAAGAGCAAGATTGTATGGTGCCCATTCTCTTCTGTAATTATTCATCAATTAGGAAGCAGATGGTATTAGCTTCCGTCTGTGAAAACGGTGCCGAATGATGTGACTCCTGTGAGAATAGATGCAAAAGTCACAAATAGTTTAATAGCTTACAGTGCCTTTGAACAAATAAAATTGTTCTGGAGGAATCGTTTAATATTGCACAAATGTGGGACTAGGAAAGAAGTATTCCAAGGAACTACCAGGTTTGTTGAAATAACAGAAATTCCAGGTTTAAAATCTAGTTGTGTCACACCCACCTACCACCTTCTCAAATATAAAAAGTAAGTTGGTTTTAGAGCCATTTTGTGTCCTTTTCCTCCAGACAGTGGGTAGGTTTTTTAGGGTTGTTTTTGTTTTGTTTTGTTTTTTTAAACATTAGCGGGTCTGTAGATTCTGTGAAAATACTTTCCTTAATTTCTGGGCTCTCCAAAGCTCAAAATGGTTAAAACACCAACCACTGCTTAACTGGGTTGCTGTAAACAAAGCCCAAAATGAAACCCCTGTGTATTTGCTGCGGATTCCCAGGTGCCTCTCAAATGCAGGAATAAGCTCAGAAAAGGTTTAATAGGTTTTAAGTGATCCATTAAAAGGTTCATACACTACTTGTGTGTTGCATCAGGTGAGTGCCTTGTCCCTTACTGCATTTAGCACTGCCTAGAAGAGCGTGGACCCTAGGATTTACTCCCTCTCAGACATTGAAGCAGAATTATATCAGGACGAACATTAGAGGTCTCAGAGCTGCATAAAGGATTGTCAGTCAGAAGATATCAGGCGATTTCCCCTGATATCTAAAAAAATATTACTCAATCTGAAGATTGGGATGTCTTGTGGGGACTGTTGGGTAAGTTTTGTGGAGATCCCCACCAACAAAAAAATCATATTGAAGATGAACACTTGATTCACAATAGCTGCTTATAAAACGGAAGGCCTCAGTATTTAGCTGTAACCCTAGCATTCCTTAAAAGCTTGCTAGTGTAATAACTGGCACAAACTCTGTTTCTTGGTCAAATCCAGCCTCATTGAAGATAGTTCCTATCTTGGAGATGACCCGAATGCTGTATGGTTTTGATGGTATGTTTATTTGTGGAGAGGGAAGGGGATTGTAAGTGGAGAGATAGGAATCTATCTGTTGTAATAGGATTTGGTCTGTGTATTAATGGAATGAACTGGCCTTTCTTGCTGTACTTCCTTTGTCCTTGCTGAGAAGGGAGGCTGAAGTTTCCTAGAGCTATTGATGAAGCTGGCGGCTGTAAGAGGAAGTGTGGACTTTTGACCTTGATGGTAGTAATGGAGAATGTTAGCGGAGTTTGGAGAGCCCACAGGTTAGTTGTGAGGACTGGAAAGAGTAACATTTTTGCCTCAAAACAGGAATACACAGTCATTTTCTTTAGGACACTTTTTTCTTTTCTAAGATTTTATTTATTTGACAGAGCAAGAGAGCACAAGCAGGGGGAGAAGGAGAAGCAGGCTCCCCATTGAGCAGGAAGCCCGATGCTGAAATCAGTCCCAGGACCCTGGGATCATGAACCCCCAGACGCTTAACCAACTGAGCCACCCAGACACCCCAGGATATTTTCTTTTCATTTATCGTTTGGGTTTGTTTGGGAGAAACTCTATCTCATTTCACAGGCCTTACTTACTATACCTCTTCCTACTATATAGAGTATCTTCCTCATTTTTTTCTCTCAAAAAAATCAAATTCCTGAGTGCTCCATTTAACAAAAATAATCAACTAGGAATATTTTGTTTTCTTGTTTTAACAATTCTTAAATTGAAATAACTGTTTAGGCTTAATTATTGAAATGCATCAGTGGCCTTCTGCCCCGCCCCATCTCCCTTCTTTGCCTGCCTCCCTCACCAACAATAACATTAAAGAACACTTGATAAACAATAGCCCCTGTTTAAAAGGAAAGCTTCAGTGTTTAGCTAATTGTTTGCTCATAAAACATTTTCTTAAAAATAAATCATAAATCCTCTGTCCATATTTCAGAATCCCTCAATCTCAGACACACACACAGCCTGGATATTAGATTATTTCTGTGAATTGCTTTTGTAAATACTTGCTCTGGTATACTAACCAGAATTGAGATGGAATGGGATCAGATAGATCATCCAAAGACATACCAAAGTTTTTGTTTTACTCCTATATTTCAGTGTGTTTCTAAAAGACCTTTAAAAGCCTTTAAAAGAGGATGTTCTGTCGTTATGACTCCTAAAACTATGGGCACCAATCTAATTGGTATTAATTTTTCCTTACTGATGCTGTATGTGATGCTTTTGTGATGATTTGTATTTGGACTCTTAACACTTACCCATTGGGGTTTAGCTTCTATATTCATTGCCTTTTTAGTCCCTCTCTTATGGGATACCATAAAAGAACACCAGATGTTCTGGTGAAACTGGCCCTTGGTTTGGATATTCTTTTTTTTTTTTT